GGACAATGAAATCGCTCTATCAACCAGATTGTATACAATATTCTTTTTTTGTTGGATTGGATGATCTGAAAAATAATTAATGAGTCTATCCGATGAAGTCGGCTTTTGATACCAATTTGTTACAATTTTGTTGTTTTTTCTAGTAAGTTTTAAATTAAGAAAATTAATTGAGTTATCCTTTTCTTTCTCAATTGTAAGTTGTAATTTTTCATTGTAGGCATTAAAAGTATTGATGACTAAGTTGACATGTTATTTTTTTACAGCTAATATTGTGTCATCAACATATCTAAAATAAAAAAAGGGAACACAATTGTGCTCCTCCTTTAAATTTGTTAAACAATCAGTTTCCAGATCATCCATGACAATGTCTGAAACGAAGGCTCAAATTGGTGAACCCATCGGTGTACCATAAATTTGTCGATAGAATTTTTCACCAAGAGAAAAATAAGTGTTGTTAAATACAAATTTAGTACAGTCGATAATATCTGAGAAAGGAATCTTACATTTCTGTCTTATAGAATATATACGTCGATCTAAACTCTGAATGACCAGTTCACAAGAAACGTTTGTAAACATAGAACTTACGTCGAGAGAAATAAAAGTATAGTTATCGACCATAACAAGATTGCTCAGTTTATTTTTAACTTCTAAACTATTATTAATATGTTCACGAGGTAGAGTAATACAATTTTTTAATGAATTATACAATATTTTTGCAAGAAAATGTGTTGGACTGTTTATTAGAGATATAATTGGACGAAGTGGAACATTTTCTTTGTGTATTTTTGGAAGTCCATATGCCTTTGCTAATACAGTGTCAGTCAGGGTCAATTGATTGGGATGGTAGTTTTTGTCGAGAAATTCATTTTCATTCAGATATTTTAAAATGCTTGATGTTTCTTTGATTAGTTTTTTAAGCGGATTCTTTTTTATAAGTTCGTATGTTGACACGTCAGAAAACATATCCAACATTTTTTTATTGTATTCAGACTTTTTTATGAGTACAGTCACGTTGCCTTTATCGGCTGGAGTGAAAAAAACATCAGGATTACTCTTTAAAAAACTTTTTGTGCTTTGTTATTTTTAGCAAATGACCTATTTTGGTTTTTAGAAAGATTTTTATTATTTAAATTATTTAACAGGACATCAGAAAATTTTCCCCTTAAATTATTCTTTGAGTTTTCATTAATGCCAAGTATAGATAAAGAATACTCCAGGTTTTTAATAGAATTTACAACATCTTTTTTGCCAATGTTTTCTGTAAAACAGAAATTAGGGCCAAGAGATGCAACTTCCACCACTTCTGAAGGAACTTCAATATCAGTCAAATTTTTATACCAAGAATCACGGCTAAATTGAGGTTTATTAAGTTGTTTTTTGTTAATGTTTTTAGTTTATTTTTATGAATGTTGTTATTGGAATTTAAAATACGAGGAAATTTTATCTTAGAAAACTCAAAAAATCTTGTTACGATACATTTAAAGTATCGTTTTTTTATTATTGATTTAAAAGTTATACTTTGAAAAATCAGATCTCTATTTCATTATGTGCCATATATAATAATTAATTGTTATTTAAAATTTAAATAGATTATTAAATTCAATGAACATATTTGTAAAAGCCGTAGTGTTGCAAACAGGTCAATAACATAAGGATTGCTTCGAGTTCATAACAGTCTTTTTGCATGATTAAGAAATTCCAAATTCTTTCATATTCTATTCCTTCTTACGATTCTATAATTTGAAATAATTGACAAGCACAAAATACAAGAATGATTTCACCACTTTTATGCATTAACTCGAAAATTTAAGTGTCAAAGACTCTTTTGGTTCAATGACCAGATTGTAATTTGTTGACAAAACAGAAACGCAGGCGTTTCTGAAAAGGTCCTTAACCTCACAGACCTTATTGCCATCACATGATGCAAAATCAAAAATGAGTTAAGCATTTTTGCACAATAAGAAAAAGTGCAATGAAATCATAATTATTCAGTTTCATCAGAACATATTTCCTAATACTTAACCCTTCCCAATAATTTGTCACACCCAAGCCTCAATTTCATGCAATAAAACTGGTGTGCTTACGATGTAATTCGCTTTTTCGCGACAGTTAACTCCTGGAGACAGGTTATCGCGAGGTTGACCGTCTGCGAAACTCGACCGGTTCAAGGGTTCGCCACGGGCAATCGAATTCGGGTAGACGTCAAACTCAAAAATCGCGAAGTGTTTGGAATAGATAAGACTGAGAAGTTATAGTAAACACAAATTAAAAGAAGTGGAATAATTTAAATCAATTCATTAAAAATAACCTAAAAATTGTTAATTACTCTCTCTCTCTCGCATATTATACAATTTTAGCAGCCCTTTCGTCACACTTTGAATTGCTCTGAATATATGACAGTGATCATATAACAAACTCAAAGCAATAGATAGTCGAATTAAATAGCCGCGTAAAGATTGAGAAATTAAGACGAGTAGAGACGAAAACAACGTGAGGTTAAGAATGAGTGTTTTAAATTGTCCTATTCAAATAAACCGTTAATAGTGAAAAGTTCAAAATAGTAATGACTGAGAATTAACAAATGAACAACCCATTAACAAACTAATCAATCATCAAATTTGCCCGTTCTGACCAGAAGAAAGGTTAGTTTTAAATGACTCTCTCTCATTCTTCTTGTTTCAGTGCGGTAGGGATTAAGGTTACATAATATAAAGATAATTGTAAGTAAAAATCAATTATGACTATTGCTAAATAAATATAATATCTTATTTGGTCTAAAGAAGATGTTAAATTGTTCTGAACCCATAGTTCTTATCTGCAATCCCTAATGAAATTCCTAAAAGTCCTAAATTAACAACAGATTGAAAATTATTAAATTAATCGAGATATAAAGAGAGGATGAATACACGATCCTATAAATAAAAACATTTAAATTCATTTTAAGTGGTTGTTGTGAACCGAAGATTAAGCTACAACTTTTGTTTTATTAATTAAATAACGAAGGACCTTATTGAATAACCTATATATATATATATATTATAAACATTTTTTCACAACAAAGGGTGGCAGCGGTGGGATCATTCTTTGTTTCTCGCATTTCTTAATTATATTTTTATTAAATAATTTCACTAAAAATAATCCTAATATTTCATGAAACCTTTCCGACATGTTTATAATAAACAGTTATAATTATAAGTCTTCTCTAGGTTCGTTGAACGGCCACTCAAAAGAGGTGAAGCTAAAATTAATCGTTTATTATAAATTGTTATTAATTTCATGAACCATATTTTTAAATTTTAGTTGATCAGTACATTAAACTTTTCTCTTTAATTTAAAAGACAACTATGAATTAGTGTCTCGCGGTAGTTGTAACATGATACGGTGTTAAATTACTACTCGACAGTCATCATACTTGTTTCTTAGAATTAAAATATTTCCTAATTGAAGATTTTCTTATTGTTTTCTTTTATTCATGATAGGTCTTTCAATAATTTAATAAAATAAAGATTTGTATTCCCTACCTTGTGCTTTTTTACTCAATTTCAATATTTCTTTTATTGACAAGTATTTTACTGGTAATGTAAATTTTATTTCGATCACATTAATATAATTATAAAAGATAAGAACTAAATACATAATTATTTAGCGTCTTACCTAAACCACATACTTTATAAATATTTTGCATGCTCTTCTGAATTTGCAAACCAATTAAATTGAGCTGAATCCAATAAATAAAAATTTTTAATAAACGAATAAATTAAATTTTATACTTTTCTAATTTTTCTTTTATGCACACATGTTAATCTAAAATTTTCATTTCAAATTAAAAAAGAAAATATGTAATAGAAATGTTTCTGTAAAATTTTAATGACCTTGCATTTCAAGATTGTAACGTGAAAAAAAATCAGATTACTCTCCAAATATTAACATTTAATTATGGAATAATCGAAAATTAATAAGTTACATTATCGTAAACATTAAAACAATCATTGTTTATTTTTAATTATTACTTTTGCAAGTAAGTCTATCGGTGGCGTAAGTGTTGCTCACTAGCGACCTCTTTATCTTTTATTAACATTGATTAAAATAATCAATTTTATTTTTACTGAGATAAAATATTCTTTGTCAACTTTTTTTTACCAAAACAAATTTTATAGATTGACAGATTTAACAATTTTTGTCAACTAAGGTGTCGGAATTATAAATAAATTTTGTTTCCCTTGAGTCACTGTTAAATTCACTATTTTGCTGAGTTACCACATTCCTTGTCCTTGGGTCAGTTACATCTATACGTGTAACCGTACAACACTTTACTCAAGGCCGGGTTACATTATTTAATTCACTTTGTTTTCTCTTCCTTTTTATAATTTCTATTCTCTTGTTATATCTCAAATTGACAAGCATTTTATGTTACGCCATTATCGTAACAAAAATTTTACAAAAATGTTATATTTTATTTTTAATTAATTAAAATTAATTAATGAAATGCATTCTTAGCATTTTGCAATCGCGCAGAAAATGAACTCGGTTCAAAGACCGTAATCCTTTTTCTTCCGTCTGAAAATACTATTTTAGCAATTAAAATATTTTATTTTCATGACTTTCAGGTAAATCAATTAATAAAGGGCTATCATTTTTATTTTTTTATGACTTTAGAAACAACAACCACATAAGCAAATGAGTGTATATATATATATATATATACAAATAATTAAAGGCCATATTAATAAAATTTACGCGATTTAAATCTTGATTAGTGAAATCAGAAAATATAATTTATATTCTGGCTGGACGTGAATTCGAGTGGTGACCATTAATAAATAAATACAAACATATATATTTTTAAATTAACACAGAATCACATTTATTATCATTTGGAAAAAGTTTAGAAATTACATAAAAGAAACAAAATTTCAAAATTCCCTTATGGATGCGAGAGCATAAAAACAAATGAATTTCTTTTTAATTTTTAGTTTTTAACAATCAAGGCTCTGACTTACCGCCATAACTAAATATTCAAATATTCCTCCTTAATAATTTTTCCTTTTACTTTCCGGCCAATGCCTCAAATTAAAACAGAACGAAAACAAAAGAATCTTTCTTTAAAAATAAGTCCGTCGTCTTTGACGTGCAAAACGTGAAGAACGAGCGCTCCTCGGCTGCTTGTTCTTTTTGCCTATTAGACGCGGCTCTTACTCAACAGCCACCCTGTCGATAAATGTAGATTAATACATCTACGAGTAACGACTAATGGGTTGCAGCCTTGCAGGCGCGACTTAATATTAGTCTTAATATTAATTTAAGGAAAACAGCTAATCTTGGACTAGTGACACTAAATTATCACGTAATGAGCCTGGAGCATTGCAATAACACAATAAAATTAATTTTATAAACATAAACAATAAAACAAATTTTTGTTTAATAATAATAGTTTTTGTGATAGAACTTTTGGCCGCATTATTTAATATTCGTCCTCAAGACTGCTTCCTGAACCCTGCTCGCTCCTTCTGAGAGTCCTTATTAGTTTCGTTGCGCTACTTTCGTCGCATCTAATAGGCTTAAACAAAAAATAAAAACAATACGGCAGTAATCAGTTCTTTCTTACTTTCGGAAATACTCTCGGATCCTTTTGAGATAGATTTTTTTTATGAAAATAATAATAATTTTAACAGTAAGTGTTTATCAAAATTACATAGATTGATTTTACCCCTTCTAAAAAAATAACATTTTATCCAAAGGAAAATATATATAAAAAGGGGGCTTCACGTCCACGTCAAGGTCAAGGACTTAAAAAGTGTCTTCAATTTTGACACTGTTACAAAGAATGTAATAAAAATCAATTGTTTATTCAAATTATCAGACACACATTCATTCTACAAAGAAAAGAAGAAATTTTTAAAATAACGCACATTTTAATTTGTAACACACTCACATCCTTACACTATAATAATGAACAAAAAAGGGAACTTTATAAACATGTTCCGAACGTGCACAACTTCAGTTTTAAAAGATCTTCATCTACAGAGACTTCCATATCTTCTGGTTCAACGTACCACGAAGGACCAGGTTGTGGTTGGAATGAAGGGCCCGGCTGCTGTTGAAGTGACGTGCTAGTCATTGGACTCAGTTTCAAAGGGTCCTCTAGAAGTGATTTAATATCCCTTAACACCCCTTCGGTTGAAAAATTTTGTTTATCATAAATGCTTTCATCGAAAGATCCAATGGCTCATCATTAGGTCACGATTTCAGGTGTAGATATGAATTTCGGCATATCATTGACCCACACCATAGTGTCAACTGTTTTTTTTGGTCCAGATTGCTCTAAACAGATAAAAACAAACAACAAAATTATTACAAAAATTGTCAAAAATTAACAGGAATGTTATTTAAAATATATAACAGAAAAATATATATATTACCTGTTAATTCCAATTCCTTTTTAATGAGGATGGGCAAAGTCTGACATCCTCCGCAATAGCAATGACTTGGACGATCAGGCCGACTATACATAATTAAATATTTATATAAAAATAAACAAAAAAGATAGAAAACAATAAAAAGAAGTCAAAAAAAGAAAATAAATCACTTACAGCACTAAATTCAGCATCGAAGTTAATTGTGCCGAATCTTCCTGAACTTCCTTCCTCAAACGATGCAGCTCTGCAATTCGTATCTTTTTGTCCACTTTAAATCCCGGATGAGTATCTCTTTTTGGACGGCCAGGACGTCCCATCGATTCGAAGCAGTCTATTTCCAACAACGAATATTAGACCGAAGCCGCCAAAACTTGAATGGATTGTAAAAATTTCTCCAAACTCATGCTGCAATTTCCTTCACCAGACACTAAATAACAAAAAAGGGAATATTAAAACTAACACAGATAAAACTTATAACACTTCAAAAAAAAGGGATCACACTTCTTACTTTTATTCAACGTCGTGTCTACTCTGCATCTCAAGAAGTCAGTCCATTACGAGAAACAAAGAGTCAACGACCACCCTGAGAAAAACGAAATCCATACCTACCTTAAAAAGATGATAAAGAAAACACAAACAACACATATCATTACACAACAAACACGTAAAATTATCACTTCACATTCTTATCTAGGCGCCGCCGAATGTAATAAGAGCGGAAGGATATTGATGTCACTGCGAACACTGTATAAAAATTGTAATTCAGGTGATAATAGACAGTCTTAATTTCAGAATTTTATAGTCGCGACATGGGTATTTAAACGATAAGAGTAGAATTTCATCGAGACGATGAAAAAAGTAAGGAGGGAGGACTGTTACATCCCAGGTATATTTTTATTAAGAAACTGTTTATGTAACTGCGATGTAACTATTTTTACAACATATAATAACCACGATAAAAGCATTTAAAATTCAGAAATTCAAATAGAAGTTATAACTAAAATTCTATACTTCGTCCTACATATTAGAATAATGATTAAAATCAAAACTAGAGATAGAAATTGACAAAAATAAGAAACAATGCGTTGAGCCAAGGAGTGACTCACGTAAGCTCGCACTCGGTTGCTATGACCTTATTACGCAACCCGAGTTCTGTGAATCGCTACTTGTAACTCTAGCTTCACTTTTTCCATAATTGAGGTAGATATTTAGATCATTTGTCAAAATTGCATTCTTTCTCCGAACTTCTAAGTATAAATAGAATTATAATGAATAAATGTTAATTCTATGAAGCTAACACACGTTATCCCCATAATTGTCTACAAATTCCCCACTTTTAATAATTTTATAGTATATAAAGCAAAGCTTTTTCATCACAAATTGTCAAAAGTTCCGGTGCGGTTTTATAGACCAGTAGTCATTGTAGAGCGACCCTTCAGTTTTTCATTATTTATTGTATTCTTTCTTTAATCGGCAACTGCAGTTCGAGTTGTACTCGGTCATTGTGCAAGTCAATTTTGTTTTTCACTTAGAAACAAGTTTCTTTCCGTAAAAGGTGCAAGAAAAGCAATTTGGCACTTAGAATCAATAATTTGAATGTATTAACTGTCGTATTCTGCGTGTCAAGTTTCATTAATTGTAGTTTTTCACCAATTCTTTCTTTAATTGGCAATTGCAGACTGAATTGTACTCAATTATTGTGCAAGTTGCTTTTCTCACACTCAGAAACAAGTTTATTTCCATAAATAGGTGCAAGTGACGATAAGTAACACTTAGAAACGGTACTAACTCTTGAAACAAACGCAAAAACCCTAAAGTTGTGAAAGTTACATAAGTGTAACATAACAAACTTTCTCAGTTTCATTGAATTGAAACAACGTTCTGAAAACCAAATTTATGCGACCAGCGCTATTACCTAATTCTACGACTATTCTGTAAATAAAAAGTAAGTAACATTTGTGTAATTATTGCAACTAAACATTTAAATAACAAATAAATTGTTAAAAGGGAATATTTATTGTTGTTGTAACTCAAAACCCGTAGTTTTGACAAGTACAAACGATCCTACTTAAAAATAAAGGTCAAGCTTTACCAACTTGACCATAAATAATCAGCCTACCATTCCTCCAAAATTCTATAACCTAACCTAATAACCTTGCCTTCTGCTCGGGATGTAACATACATATAATAATAAATTCAAATAATATTTTATAAAGACACTATTGTTAAATTATTCGTTTAACCTATTTACTAAATGATTATAATTATATTAATAAAATTTTTGTATACTAAAATTTCTAACCTAATTATTTACTATAAACAATACACAACTAGCCATCCGAGTTAAAAAATTTTTTTTTTAACTCTCTTCTTAATTTACAAGTTATATTTGTTAATTATGATATATTTAATGATCGTAATATTAAATTTTATACTTGAATAAATTTTATTTACTTTTATTTATTAGTACTCTTAGTATTAAAAATTTCTTTGTTATTATTACTTAATTTATATTCAATTTATATTGCTTATTAAATATATTTATGTATTTAGTTTATTAAGTTTATTGTTATAATTTAATTAGTAATTCTAGAGATAATAGAAGACTAGCCATCCACCTGAACTTAGATGGTTAGTTTTATTATCATGTCATTTATATTTGAAAATTTTAAATCATATTTATTGACTATATTGATTATTTTGTTTTATTGTTATTAATACAATTAAATTTTATTTTTATTTATATTTATTTATTGATTATTATATATAATAAAATTTTTTTTATTTACAATTTAGTCGATATTCTAATCGGTACTCGATATTACAATTTGATTGACTTATTTTTTTATTTCTCAAAGTTGATGCATTGATTTATTATAATTCTTAAATTCTTTGTAAGAATCATGATTAGTCTAATTTTCATTATAAGTGTTTTACTTTTCTATAAATATAAGACCTTGGTTCACAGAACAATTTTAATCATTTCTAAATTGTGGAAAATTGTGCAAATTTTTTTTTTCGTTTTATTAATTGTTGTTGTAAAATATATATATATATATATATATATATATATATATATATTTATATATACATTTGCTGTTGTTGTTTTATAAAATCATAAAAATAGTTAATATTATAAAAAATAGCCCTTCATTAATTGATTTGCATCACTTTTACTGAAAGTCATGGAAATAAATATAGTTTAGTTGCCGAAATAATCTTTCAGCGTGAAAAGAATTTTTTATTGAAAGCTGAACCAACTAGATACTTAAACTTCGTTTCTGTATTTGAAATTGCAAGCTAATACTTATAGTATATGCGAACTTGGAAATACAATTAGAATAGATAAGATTGGAAATCCATGTTAAAACAAGTTCAAACAAAAATTGAAAAGGAAAATCTAAAATAAAACTATTTTAATTTTATCTTGGATATTTGTTCCAGTTATATAAATAGGATTTCCAAGTTAAAACCAGTAGAATTGCAACGCGGAAAAGTTTTTCAATTTGGAATGCAAGTAGACACTAGTAGATCCATTTTTAATTTCTTCCAGTCTCAACTGGTCCTTTATTATAGCGACGTTTTGTATACTTAGATGACACTGTTATTTTTGGATCTACATTAGAACATATTAAAAATCTAACCAAATTCATAGAAAGAGTAAAACATTAGGATTAAGATTACAACCGAATACGTGTGAATACCATT